TATCGCTTGCTATTGCAAGGTTGACTTCCACCTGGTGTCGGCTTAAAGTTTATTTTAGCGTATATTAAGTGTGAATGTAAAATTGTATTCTTTCTGAAAGAAACGACAGGAACTTCCGTAAAAATAGATTTTAATCGATCATTAAGTTGAAGGAAATAAAGGTGTTTCTTTATTATCCGGGGTAGATTTTTTCAGTTTTGGGTGATGGGCAATAGCCAGTGGAAAACGAGAAGAATTGGTTTTAGGTAATTGTTCCAAGGTAGATGTACGTGGTATATTGTTAGCTTTCTCAACTTGTTGGGTGATGGTGTTTTGTTTATAACCTCTTTCAGTCATAGTCTGTTTCAAAGAATGAATGTGACGGTCATAGTTCATATTATCAGAGCATATCTTCTTTAATCTAAGTGCTTGATTGAATGTGATATTGTGTTTGGTGTGTGGAGGGTGACAGCTTTGATTATGTAAGTATTGTGGTTTATCAGTTGGTTTTTCGGTACACATCAATATGTAGAACACCATATTTTAATGTTAGGTTTACATCCAAGAAACTTATTTGGGTGGTGGAATAGTCTAGAGTAAATTTAACAGACCTGTGAAAGGTGTAAGCATGTCTATAAAAGGACAGTAATGAATCTTCGTCTCCTACAAAAAAATCATCAATGTAGCGTCTCCAAAATGTTAGCTTGTCTGTGCAGTTTTCCAAAAGTTTCGTCTCTAAGTCTCCCATAAAAAATGTTGGCATAGTTTGGTGCCATCTTGGTGTCCATAGCTGTGCCTTTTGTTTGAATATAGAATTCATTATTAAATTCAAAACCGTTAAGTGTAAGTACTCTTCAGGTAAATATGTAATAATTTGAGTGTTGTGTTTTTCTAGTTTTTGCAGAGAAGATTCTAGGACTTTTAGGCCTTCGTCGTGGGGAATGTTTTGTGTGAAGAGAAGAAACGTCCATAGTACAGAGAATAGTATTTGGAGGAAGTTTTCCGTTGCTGTTAATGTCAGAGATCATGTTTAGAAAATGTATTGTGTCTTTAATGTACGACGTCAAACGTGGAGGGGGGATATCTTTGATGTGGTGATCAACATAAGCAGATAAGTTTCAGAAGGCATACCGCAATTAGAAATAGGACGACCAGGATTGTTGGGTTTGTGTATTTTTGGTAACATGTAAAAGTGACCTGGAACTGGGCGTTTAGGTAAAAGGAACTGTAATGTTTCATGACCGATGTGTTGGCTTTTCTGTAAGCTACATAGCATACTTCGGTAATTTTAATAAATTGCTGTGTGGGATCCAAATCTACCTTTTTATAGTGGTTTGTGTCATTAAGTTGTCGGTAAGCTTCGTTGATATAGTCGAGTTTTTCTTAAATGACAATGGCACCGCCCTTATTAGCTGGTTTAATAATAATTTTATTTTCGTATTTCAGTGCAATTAGAGCAGAATGTTCACTATAGGAGAGATTGTTTCGTACTTTTGAGTCAGAGTTAATAGCTTGAATTACTTCATTTTCAACTGCAGTAATACAACTCTCTAGATGTGACTCCCTGTTAGCTGGGGGTGACCAGATGCATTTTTCTTTAAACTGTGAGTCGAAATTATTTCTTTCAGTGGTTTTTTTGTGAAAAGATTCTCGAAGTCTTAATCTGCGAGCAAATTCGTGGAGATCGGAAATGATTTTGAAACTGTCTATGTTTTTAGGGGTAGGTGAAAAATTAAGACCTCTGCTAAAAAGTTTGTGTTGAGATTCAGTTTGTGTTTTAGAGGATTTACGACATTGAAAGTGTTCTTGGATTTGTGTCGATCAGATGGAGAAGTGACTATATTAGTGGAATTAGAAGTAGGATCTAGTTTATGAGAGAGCTCAATGTACATGTTTACATTGTTGGAGTTATTAACCAGCGGCTCACAGATGGCACTAGTATGAATTTGTTTAAAGTTAATATTTTGTTCTAAACAGAAATTGTGGCTTGGATGGGAGAAACCTTTGTCCTTTTGTGAAAGATCATGATGCTTTTTTTTTTTTGTCGTTGCTTTTCGCGTTATTTTCAAAAGTCTTTATTATTTTGTTAATAAATGCATCACGTTTTTATTGTTCAGTGGAACATATTGTGTTCTCGGAATTTGTAGCAGCAATTTTCCAGGTTGTCAATTGTAGATTTGCAGAAGTCTTGTGTGAGTTCTATAAGTGTAAGTGAGGTGAAATGAAGAATTTTCTTCCATTGTGAACAAAATAATTTGTCGTTAGCTCCTATTGTAACTGGTGGATTTAAATTAAGGGATTTAGGTATAGTTTGATTCTGTAAATGTTGTCTCAGTACATCAGCATGGTGCATGTACCTCAGTCTTTTTTTCATTCAGTTTTCTGGGTAGTCTGAAAGTCTTACTAGAGTTTAGGTCAGAGTGCACTTGGGCAGTTGTGCTGAAGGAAGTGTTTATTTCAAGATTAATACATGATTTTACTTTGTGACAGAGAGAAGGTTCAGGGTATGTTAGGTTTAGAAGGTCGTAAAGTGATGATTAAAATCTCCATAACTACTGCATTTAGGAGAAGTAATGGTAGAAGTGTGACCTACAGTAGTATCAGAGTGTGTGAATGGTGCAGGATTCTTGGATTGTGTGTCAGGTTTAGAACTTAGGAAGAAGTTTCTGGAAACAGGGGTGGAAGCCGTAACTTCTGTATAAGTGCGTCGTTTAGAAGAATAGGCACACCTAGTTCTGGGAGAAGCAATGGTAAACATGGGATT